TGGTTTTGAGATGGCACTTGGGACATGTGAATATCCAACTACTCCTTACCATAGCCCTCTTTTTCTGCTCTGTCTTCTCCTACCCCTGGGATCCCAGAATTGGTGAAAGAGTCAAATGATACAATTTTATGATGGAGAGAAGCATAAGATGGTTCCAGAGCCCAAACCTGGGGCTGGACTGCTGACCTTGAGTCCCAGCTCTAGCACTTACTAGCCACGTGGGCTGCAGACGTTTAACCTCCGTGTGCCTGTTTCCTCATCTGTACGTGGGGAAGATGGGAGTAACAGTTCTCACCACAGAGGGTTGTTGTGAAGTTACCTGCATTGACAAGTGCTAAGCACTCAGAACAACATTCAGGATGTAGTAAGAGCCCAATGTTAAATTTGATAAGCCAAATTTAAATTTGAAAGCTCAAAGCAGTTAGTGTTCTTATTTGATACAATTGGTCTCAAAATCATTTTACAAAAACCGGAGACAGTTGAAGCTCGGGTGGAACAGGGCTTGGAGACATTCATCCCAAGACCCATCACTAATTCTGTTCCACACACACAGACAGCAGCCTGTCCTTGCATTTCCAGCTTGTTAGTGCTAATATTCCCGGTGCCCTTGGAGGATATCCATCCAGCACGCGCTCATGTAGAAACGCAGCTTTGCAAACCTTTCATCAAGTGTTATAAAGAAGATGTCAGCCTGATGCAGACACAGCTGGGGGCAGCAGGGAAGAGAGTCGTTCATCTTCAAAACTGTCAAATGAGCAGCTCTGGCCTGCATGGAGCACAGGATCCAGAGGAAGATGGGCAGCACCACCAGGCACGGGGCAAGAGCAGAGAGCCAGGGACTGCCCTTCCCAGCCAGGCCTGCAAGTAGGCACAGGGAGGAGAGCTCACAGCAGGAGAGACCTGGCGATTGCCTCCAGGGCCAGGGGAGCAGACACTGCCACCCCCCAGGGAGGCCAGCTGCCCTCAGCTCTCTACAATGGATAAGCACAAGCTCTTGGCTGTGAATGTCAGAACTGCTAGGAACACAGAGCCCTTGGGGAATCCAGGCGATTGGGATGGATGTTGTTCTTGCTGCTGTTGTATAACCTTAGATTCCAAAGGTGGGAGCATCAGTGGACAGTGGGAGGAAGTCAGGCTTTTCTTCATTAATTGGGTTCTCCAGTGTCCAGGCAGCTCTGCTGTCTTCTCATTCCCCTGCAGCCTCCTCTGCCTTCTCTGGCCACGTCCCCTTCCTCATTACGTTCTGCAGCAGTGCAGGAGCTCAGAAGTGGCTGCTGGCTGGGGTGTGGTTGGGGAGGTGGCGTGATAGTGTGGGTGTGCCCAGAAGAAGCCCTCAGGACATCTCAGCTGTGCCTACAACCCTGTGATCTTGAGCACAACACTGAACTTCTCTGGGTCTCTGTTTTCTTGTCGTTCAAATGCTGGAGGTGGAGGGGGTGGTGAAGGACAGCAGAGAGGCAGGAGGGTGGCCTGAATGATCACTCTGAGTGGCCTAAAGACCTGCAGTAGGGCCTGCATTAAGGGTGTGGGCTAGGAAACCAGAGTGTCCTCAGCTTAATTCTAACTCCATTGCTTCCCAGCGAGTTAACTCCTCTCAGCCTCAGCTTCCTCAGATAGCAGGAATAAAAATAGAAACTCCCTGATGGGGCAGGTATGACATACGAACACATAGTAAGGGATAATCATCATCACCTTCATCATAATGAATTTAGAGGCCAAGGGAGTCTGCTAGAATTAGAATCTTGGCTTAGACACAGTGAGCGATTTGGGCAAGTTATTTAACCTCTAAGACTCACTTTTCTTACCTGACACTGGAATAATAAGAATAACCATGCACATATCACAGAGTGGCTGAAGGGATTAAATAAGGACATCTGCATCAAGCTCCCAGCACGGTTCCTCAACGCTGTTAGCTCTTTAAGAAGAACCACATTGTTTTGCGGATGTGCAACCTTCTTCCTTCGACGGGTGGTTAGGAGTTTGGTTGGGGCAATAGGCCATGTATAACTTGTTAGTAAGAGCAAAGGTATCCGAGGAACTGTCCTCTGTGCGGGAATGCAATTCCTAGTCCTGCAGCCAGCCCCTGGCCCCAGGTTACACATCAGCGCCCGTGGGTAAATCACTGACTAACCACACAGTCAGAGTCAGAGACTTTCACACAAAAGCCTTTCCCTTTCCCAGTCCTGTGAGGCAAGGCCTTCCCTTGCTGAAGGAAGATGCTTCCAGAGCTCCTCCCCCTCCCCCACCCTGGCCTCGGCGCATTGCTTACAGCTGCCCAGTAACAAGTCCCAGCTTGGGCTCTTTTGGGAAAAGGCACAGCTTCAGGCCCAGGGATATTTGTACAGGGAGGAGGTGGAAGTAGTTTCAGGAGCTTGATTCATAACAGCAGCAATCTCCGTCAAACAGGTTCCTGCAACTTCAGGGAGGCCTCTTTGTTCCATTGTTCCAGGGAGCCAGACAGGCCTGGCAGGGGGCAGGTGGGGCGGGGAAGGAAGCCCCCTGGAGTCCGGCCAGCAAGCTGCTGCCCGTGGCAACTTCATCTCGTTTGCACAACACCAGTGATCCGATTCTGTTTGATTATAGCTTGTGAACCTTAGGCAACTGGCTTCCTTTGCTATTTGCTCTTCCAGGGGCAGAAGGATGGCCAGAATCTGTGGAAAGAAGCTGAAACTCCACTGGCATTTTTTTTTTTTTTTTTTTTTTTTTGGACAAGGACTAGATCTTAAAGAGTTTTGCCAACCAGCAAATTTATGATGTAAATCTGGCACATCAATGGACATTAAAAAAAATTAATGAAAAAGGTTGAGGAAGCTCTCAGATAATTTGGAGCATAAACTTGACTTTGATACAATGGAATATTATTTGGCCCTAAAAAGGAAGGATGTATGGATACGTACTATGTAATGGATACGTTTTGAAAACATCATGTTAAGTGAAAGAAGTTGACCAAAACAAAAAGCCATATATTATATGATTCCATTTATAGTAATGTCAAGAATAGGCAAATCTATAGAGACAGTAAGTAATTAGTGGTTGCTAGGGGTGGGGGAGGTGAAAATGGGAGTAACTGCTAATGGGTATTTTCATAACTTTATTTTTTTCTGTAAAAATATTCTTTTTTAAAAAATTGAAACATTGATTATACATATTTGTGGGGTACAGAGTTATATTTCAATATATGTATATAATATGTGATCTCATCACCTTTTGAGGTGATGAAAATATTTTGGAATTAGTTTGCACAACTGTGTGAATATACCAAAACCCCTTGAATTGCACACTTTAAAAGGGTGATTATTATGGTATGTGAACTATATGTTGATTTTAAAAATTGTACGATAAAAAAATTTGGGTTTCAGTCTGTAAGAAACTTTGGAGGCTGAAAATGTATTGCCCCAACCCCCCAAAAAAGAACTGGCCTGACAGTGAAGAGTTTGGGGCTCAGGCTTGGTCAGTCATCTGACTATCCAATCATTTGCCTGACATATTTATTGAGCACCCACCACGTGTCAAAATACTGTGCGAG